GATCAAAACCTTCGTTGAAGATACAAACTGCTAATTTAAAAGCTATTTAAACAATTTTTTTACCATTAAATAGGTGTTTTTTTACCATTAAATAGGTCATAGCCCAAACGCATTTGTTGAAGCACTCATTATTATTTTAAATGTGTGGCCACCCAAACATCTTTCAAGTAATTTTGGTTTTGTCAAGTCAACATCAACCTTTTTTTTTTTGCTGCTTTATTCATGCAGAGACTTACACAACCGCAGATGGTTTGTCTCCTCTATCTGTAATATCTCTAGTGTTTGGGTCGCAATATAATATACTTAGACTGCTCGGATCGTTCTAAAATTTTTGTATGATAATTCTACATATGTCTACTTTCATGAAATTAAAAAAATTGATATTTTTAAAATGATAAACCAGAATGAACCCTTAATATAAAGAAATTGTATATTTGTTTTGTTTGTATTTTTCGCATTTCGTGTTTTTATTATTTCATTAACAACATCATTTTGGTTTATCAGTGGGGGAGCAAAGACTCTGCCAGATATTTATTGATATTTAGTATGTATTGGTGAGTATCCTATGTGCAAAAAAAACCGTATAATCGATCAATTACATTAGTAGTAACTACAGGTACGTATCATAATTTATTTTCGTAACTATAATATGAACAATAGGATATTTCCAACTTCATTTATGCAATTATTTGAAAATAGTTCACAAATAGGTGAAATAAATAGAATTATAATATTTGAATTTAGTCACTTCTCTCTGTTGCCTTTTACGAAACTTTTACTCACCGACCCTTTCCAAATATTACATATCTTTTGTAAATTTATATATCTTTAGAATCTAAATAGCCACCTGCGATAAAGAAGTTTCACTTCAAAAGTCCGCACGGAGTTGCCTTCGTTTTTTTTATTTTGTAGCCTTTAAGCTGCGTTCCACTATCGTAATTTTGTTTTGATTGTCAGTGTCACTCCCTGTTGTGAAAGTTTAGCTGCATTTACAGCTTTTTTCAGTACTGCAAATAGTACTGCAAAAAAAATTATATGCGTCATTACATTGCTTATAAAAAACAGTATTAATTTCTCCAATTTCATTTTTTTCAAATATCTACGATTTACGAGATAAACGCTGGCTAGTAAATCTATGAACACCCTGTATATTTAAAATAAATTTATTGCAATAATTTGACTTATTTTTCAGATATAATGTTCCTTACGATCTTCTTAAGTTCAATTGTATTACTAATTTTATTGCACTGCAAAATAAAATATGGAAGAATTGGAAGAATACTGAACAGTCTTCCAGGACCAGACACTTATCCCATTATTGGAAATCTGCATCATATCAAGGATGGTAAGTTGTTCTCGAAGTAAAACTTCTATAAATAAACAATTTTTTGTCAATTGCTATATCTATCTAACACAAGCATTTTCTTTAAGTTCCAGATAATGTGATTAAAAAAATTGTGGAATATAATAATAAATATTTTCCAATTTACAAAATCTCGACCTTTGGGTATTACATGGTATTTCTACTTCATCCAGATGATATTAAGGTAAATGATTAAAAAACAGAAGCAAGGTACATTTTTTTCTTCCTTTTCCGCTATATTCAATATACTTAAACAAGTAGCAAAATTTTGTCGAACAAAGAAAGAAGAAATTTTCTTGACAGGTTCTGATGACAAGCACAGAAAATATTGATAAAGAACATGTTTATTATTTCTTGAGGCCCTGGTTATCCTATGGATTGCTTACTAGTACAGGTATCAACTCAATAAAATAATAATAACTTTATATATTTATTAGTATTTATTGATTTGTATCATGTGTAAGGTAAGAAATGGCAAAAACGGCGGAAAATGTTGACACCTGCATTCCACTTTAAAATTTTGGAACATAGTGTTATTACTTTCAACAAAGAGGCACACTGCTTAATTAAATCGCTAAAACAAGAAAGTGAAGGAAACGCTGTTATTAAAAATTTACAATCATTAATTACGCGACATACTCTAAACATAATATGTGGTATGTAGACAACAATTTTTTTATTTATTGATTTTGAAAGTAGAAAAATAATTTCTGCAAGCGTATTTGTAGAAACGGCTCTGGGTATCTCTTTAAAGGAAAAGAAAGAACATGCATCTAAGTATCGTGATGCTATTCACTCTTTCGGAAAAATCGTTCCTTACAGGTAATTAATATTTTTGTTTCTTAGGAGTGTATTAGTCAAATATGAAAAGGAATGTGATTAAAAGAAAATACTTTCGTTTAATAGACTCCTTAGACCTTGGTTTTACATAGAGTGGATATTTGCACTTTCTTCAGTTGGTCGGCTTCATAAAAGAGCATTAAACACATTACATAGTTTTTCAAGAAACGTAAGTATATCGCTCAAATGCGCTAAAAATTCAAATTGCGTTTACATAATTTTTCAAATTGCTACATATATTACAGATAATTGCAGAAAGAAAACTATTTCATGAAAAAACTAATAGAAAATATTTATATCAATTTGAAAAAACGGATAATATCGACACTTCTTTTCAAAACTCAGAAGAAAAAAATACAAGTATTTTAACTATTGTGATATAATAAATGCTTATTTTAGAGAAAACATTATTCATATATTATTCCACAGATTCGATATATAAGAAAAGACTTTCTATGCTTGATCTACTTATAGCATATTCTCTAGATAGTAATGAAATTGATGATAAAGGAATTCAAGAGGAAGTAGATACTTTTATGTTTGAGGTAAGCTGTATTATTTAATTCAAATTATTTGTTGAGAATAGTAGGTAATAATTACTAAAAATAGTATTTATTAGTAATGTCGTAAATTTGGCAATACATGAATTATTTTTATCAGAGGAATGAATAAAATAGGGATGGATAAGTAAATCAATGTACACCAATTTACGTGGTTTCAATACCACTTGCCCCGAGCATAAAAACTTTCACAGTATTGAGAGAAATGTCGGAACAAGCGAATACTTTATTTCATAAAGAAATTATACAAATAAATAGTAGCTCAAAGATAGTCAAAGAAAAGAATTAAGTAAAATGTAAATATCCCGCGAGATATCTTTTTCGCATGCTAGAGAGCTCTCTTACCTTATTTATTACACCGGAAACCTGTAGATGTCATGAAGTGTAGTTCGATCCGCGATCCAACTTAAGGACACACTTTTTCTTGTCGCAGATTTCCTTTATTTCTCGAGTACACAACCTAGATCCCGAATATTCTATTTTCATTTCCATGTGGCTGTTCGTAAGGTGATGAGTGCTGCGATCTGGATAGGTGAACGCTAAGAATCTGGCACGTCTAGGAGTCTCGTACGTGAGCGTAATTCTGAGTTCTCCTTTTACTATACATTACGATGCAACCAGCCTTGCAAAATACTTTGGTACTGCTCCCCTTAACACTTAGAATTTGCACAAGAACGTTCCGGGTATACGAAATGAACTGATTCGATTAAAACGCACGCTAATTGAGAAACTCAGAAAAAAGCCGATATGGCGTATCAATATCTGTACATAACGATCTATATAGCTACCTGTCTGACATGGAAATGGATACTTGTACTGCCCAAACACACGACCCAATGCACCACCTCACCATTGCTATATATTGGGGCATGCCCTTGCATGCCCTTGCTACTCTATCAACGCTACATTTACTAAAGCAGTTCAGTTCGAAGTAAATAACAACTAAAAAACACTTATTTTTTGACCGTTTTATTTATGTTGTAGTTATCTCCTTTCTTTATGAATTTTTCTTAACTCATGTTAGTGTTTTAAAGCAAAATACAATATAACTTTTTGGTAAATTCTTAAAATATTTAAGTTGGATTGTTACTATACAGTTCCACAAGAAAATCTATATGCAATTTTCCAAAGATTTTCATTTAGAAAAGATTCAATTATTAGGAGATTCGTTTCAATTGCAATTTTATTAAAGATAAAAGTAATGATGAAACCCATGTCAAAAAAACAGCATATCAAGTTTCATTTTTCATCAATTGCAAAATCTTTTGTGCGTTAAGGGAACATTTATCTGTGAGTATTAGGTCCCTTTAGGCAATATCTAAAATATAAGAAACATTAAACGTTATCATCGAAACTTTCCTTCGTTAGAATTGATACCATGTAGTAGCGAAGAAAAGAAATATAGTTTTTAATACAATATTTTATGAGAAAAGGTTTTTTACAGGGTCACGACACAACATCAATGGCATTGATCTTTGCTTTGAGTCTCTTTGCGAAACACCAAGATGTCCAGGTATTCTTTCTATCTGAATAAATAATTAAAACATTGAGCGGCAAAGATCACGACGAATCTATATTGAATAAGTAATAGATTTTTTATTGATAGCAACGTATAAGGGACGAAGTGAACGCAATTATGCTTGATGATGATTACGATCTGACGACCTCAGATCTTCAAGAATTATCGTACCTGGATAGGTGTATAAAGGAATCACTCCGTTTATATCCAAGCGTTCCTTTCATATCTCGTACCTTAACTCATGACTTGCAGCTAAGTACGTAATATAGTTACATTTTACGTGGATTTTAACTTTTGTATTTTAATGAAATGTTTAATTAATTTTTAGATAATTCTTTAATTCCATCAGGAACAATATGCGCGATTTACATATATAGCGTACACAGAAATCCAAGATATTGGCCAGATCCTAATGTTTTTGATCCCGACAGATTTTTACCAGAAAATGTTAAAGGGCATTATCCTTTCTCCTATATTCCATTCAGTGCTGGCCCAAGAAACTGTATTGGTAAATATCGTAATTACTGGTAATAAATGAATCTACCTATTTAGGTGTTTATTTTATTATAGGTCAAAAATATGCAATGTTAGAGCTTAAACTGATAGTAGCTCATATAGTGCGAAATTTCTATTTAGAACCAGTGGATAATATTGATGATGTTGAGATAACAGTCGGTTTAACTTTAAATTCTTCCAAACCACTACACGTGAAGTTCATTCCCGTTAATGAATTATAATTTTACTTTAAATTCTGTCAAAAATCATATAAATTGAAACACAAATATATGTAATTTAATTGCAATTGATAATTTCTTTGCATTAAAGTTTTAATGTTGTGATAGTTAAAGATATTGGGGAAAAGAATTCTTATAGAGCAACTAAAAAATCTGAATATACACCACTTATACTAGCTTGCTAATATTTTATGATAATGTTATTGTTTTTAATCGTAAATTTTTTTGATAATTCATACATCTTATTATGAATCGTTTTGTTTAGTATAATAGTAATAGTATCATGGGATAAAAGTTTAAAATACTAATGTATTGTAAATAAAAATAAAAGAGTTTACCATTATTTATAAGGATTAAACGAGTTATTATTATTTATTAGCGTTACGAACCAAGTTCATTGTTCAGTCCTTTAGCAAAAAGTTCAGCATTCCCATTCTCTGATTCTTCGTTTAATAACCGATCAAAATAATTTTTCCACGTATTTAATACCCCCGTTGCATCCTAAATTAAATTATTGTTTGTATCTTTCACTAGATCCGTCCTAGCTTGAAATCTCTTTCTGAGTCTATTTATCCCCGCGTACATACCACGGACGTTGCTGCTTTGACAATTTTCATCTATTTCTTCAAAATTTTTGTTTTAAAAATTGTCGCTTTATATTCCTAATTAAATTATGAGTCGATTGCCTAATATTATAAAATTGGTCCCGGGTTAGATCCGTGTTTTGGGTCAGCCACGAGATAAAAGAATTTCATAGCCATATGAACTTGGTTTGTTTCATTTATAAGAATCAAAGACCTAAGTAAGTTTTTCTCTCGTTCCCATCCGTAATTTAAATACTGAAGCATATTTTACAAATTGACCGGACAATCTATACAATCCCCATAATATATACATTCACCGCGCGCGCGCGTATAATGTATATAAAATGTATACAATGTATATAAAAATTTTTCTGAAATATAATTTTATTTATTATATAAAACTTTATTTATGTCATATTCATTGAATATTACACAATAATTACATTGATCAAAAACATTAAGCGAATCTCTACTATTATATTGAATTACAGTTCTTCCAAACTTGTTGTGTGCTATTTTTATGCTTCTATCAAATAATTTTAATCATGAGACTCATGGTCGGGTGTATTGATATCACGTATATAACACAGAGGAAACATTAAAAATTTCTCCAGTGTGCATCACTGTTTCGCAAACAGTGGTGAATCTGAGTTGATGTTACACAACAAGATACATGGCACTCTTTTTGAATATTATTTTCATTTAAAAGTTAATTTTTTATTTTTTCCTTTTACCTACTATGGATATCGTGAATAACAAGTGTTCATTATTAATTGCATTTGGCTGTAAGTAATACAACTACATAATATTATTTTATATTTCAAAAAATTTTATTTCAAAATTTTAAAGATATTACTTTTGTATACTAAGAGCGTTAATTATCATACTAGAAAAATAAAAACACCATGAAATCTCCACTTCGCTTCTGCTTACCCAAAAGAAATAGGGTTATCATATGTATGTTCCTTTTCATGTTTTGCAAGTTTCGTATGAATCATCTTTATGGATTAATAAAAATAACAGTGATATTAGAATGGAGCAGAGTAAATATCTTAGATGCGATAATACGAGAAAAAAATGAAAGTAATGACACGTTCGTGTAAGTCATTTAAATTCATTGTTTCGTGTTTTATATACAAATCATCACAAAATCACATAGTCTTTTTAAAAAAAAACTATGAATATTTTTTAAAATATTATCAAGTAAAAAAATCAATGTAAAATGTTAAAAATGTCAAGACATATAAGTGAGAATGCAAATAATGAAAAATGAAAATAAAAAAAATAGATAAGTGTAAAGAAAAAGAGAAGATGATTAAGTCATAAGCGAAAGACACAAAGGAAAATACACGTGTAGTGTATGGCAACGTCGGATACACACATACATCTCAGAAGCGATAATACGAAACAAATTAAAAGAGATTTCGTTGAGAAAAAGAATTGTAGAATACTGTGGAATAAATTAGAAGCAGCTGACAAATTCCATTCAAAAGCAAGTAAATTACTGTCACATTTTTATATTTTGCTTTTTTATAAAATATATTTGATACTTAAAGATAAAATATGTCTATTAAATTTGATTTTTATATGAAAAATATCCAAAGAGATGTACTGATCCATGCATATATGAAAATTATATTATAAATTGTGATATTTGCGTATTTAGGAAACTTATACTAATTTTTCAATAAAATAGAAACTTTTTTAACACGCTGAATGCCCAGCGTGAATCGATGGAGCTTATCACAGGGCTTAAATTTGAGACTCGAAGAGTAAACAGTTCGATAAGCTGAGAAAGCGATACGATTCAATGCATTTTTTAAATTTTTCGTTGTACAGATCTTTATTTAGACTCGAGTATTTAGAAAGATAAGTTTGAGGTTCAAAGAATAAGGACGAGATATGCTATAAGTAATAAGGGTCTCAAAGTGTGGTAGGCTACAGAGTTGAAAAAACATTTCTAGAGAATATCTTTATTAGATCTTTCATTGCATTTTACCAGAATCTTCGTTCAGTCCAGCAGTATTTTCCATATGTTTTTCGTAACGTCTTTATTTCATCTATCCTAAAATGTTGGTTATATAGCGCAAAAATGTAGATGAAAACGGGAAATTGAAAACCACATTAACAAAAATATCATGTGGGCAGATCACACGTGTTAGAAGTGAAACCTTCGAAAAACTAAGTTTCGAGAGAAAGAGACGACTGTAGAATATCAGGAGTAGGATAATTGTAGGGTTTATTTGTTATAATATTATTATTATATTATTGTTATCACATTCAAAAATTATTATACGTTTTATTGAAAACATATATAAATAGATAACATATTACACAGTAAGCAAGTTCTCAATTCAAAGAAATGAGACGAGTTGCTTCTGGTAACTAAAAAATGCATGGTAACTAAACACTTCTGTTAGTGTAGTAAACACCTCTATAGTAAGGTTTTTTCCGAAAAGTAGTGAGGTATTTTCCGAAAAGTCCGTAGGATATTTCCGATAAGTCCGTAGGGTGTGTTTAATTAGGCCTCGTAGAAGAGTCTCGTAAACAAGCCTCGTTAAAAAGCCTCGTAATCGAGTTTCTTTTATTTACAAACTTTTATATTTTATTGAAAAATTAGTATAAATTTCCTAAATACGCAAACATTATAATTAAAAAACATGTCTTTGGATATTTATAAAAAAAATATTCTACAATATTGTCTAATTCTTTTTCTTTCATGTATCTTATAATCAATTTTTTTTTTTTTGTAAAATATTGCAGACAATACAATTATTTTAATCTATATATTTCATAATAATTAATAAGAATAATATTTACGAAATAAATAATTTAATATTAATTTTTCAATAAAATAGCAACATTTTTAAATAGAAAAGAAATGACACGTTTGGTAAATATCATGTGTGCAGATCACACTTGTTAGAAGTGAAACCTTAAAAAATTAAGTTTCTAGAGAATCAGACGAATGCACATTTTTAAGAGTAAGATAATTGTAGGATTTATTTATTATAATATTATTACCATATATAATAAAGGTCACCGGTATGATTAGTGAGTGGAGTAGTCGATAAATAGTACACTTTTCCAAATTTAAATAATAAAAATGGAATGCTGAATGCGATAGGTATAAATAGACACCAAAATGGTAGGATGTTTATCAAAGGAAATATAATTTACCAGATATTAGGTAAAAATAAATAATCCTTTTTTTGAAACTTAGGTATAAAATTTTTTTTGTTAGTATGGTTTTCTATTTCCCGTTTTCATCTACATTTTTGCGCTATATAACAAACATTTGAGGATAGATGAAATAAAGACGTTACGAAAAACATATGGAAAATACTGCTAGACTGAACGAAGGTTCTGATAATATTCAATGAAAAATCTACTAAAAATATTCTCTAGAAATGTTATTTCAACTCTGTAGCCTACCACACTTCGAGACCCTTATAATTTATAACATATCTTGTCCTTATTCTTTGGACCACAAACTTATCTTTCTAAATACACTTGTCTAAATAAATATCTAAACAACGAAAAATCTAAAAAATGCGTTGAATCGTATCGCTCTCTCAGCTTATAGAACTGTGTAAACTACGAGTCTAAATTTCAGCTCCGTGGTAAGCTCTACTGATTCACGCTGGGCGTTTAACATCTTAAAAATGTTTTTATTTTATTGAAAAATTAATATATGTTTCTTAAATACGCAAATATCACAATTTATAATATATTTTTCATATATGCATGGGTCAGTACATCTCTTTGGATATTTTTTATAAAAAACATATAAAAATCAAATTTAATAGACATATTTTGTCTTTATGCATCAAATATATTTTATGAAGAAGCAAAATAAAAATATAACAGTAATTTACTTGCTTTTGAATGGAATTTGTCAGCTGCTCCTCATTTATTCCACAGTATTCTCTAATTCTTTTTCTCTGATGTATCTGGTAATCCTTTTTTTTTTTTAAATATTTCAGACCATAAAATTATTATATATTCTATATACTTCATAATCATTTATTATAATATTTGTGAAATAAGTAATTTAATTCGAATTTTTCAATAAAATAGAAACATTTTTAAATAAAAAAGATATGACTAGTTGTAAAAAAAAACTATAGGCATGAATATTATCGCATCGATAATAAAGATATTAAATGTAGATCGAATTTCAACAGACCTTCCCTGTTTTTTATAATTCTTTTCTCATGATAAGACACCAACCTTGGGGTGTAGGAAGCTGACAAAAACTAATATTTTCCAAATTCTATCAATCAAGATGGAATGCTGAATGCGATAGCCATAGATAGAGACGAAAATTGTAGAATATTTGTCGATAGAAAAATACGTCGTCCTCTAATCCAAGTAAATATAATATATATTTTTTTGAAACTCAGGTAGATGAATTTTTTTTCTCTTACACTTTTCACACTTTCTGTGAATGTGAGATATCTTTATGATAGTTAGCATACACAAGTGTTTCTTTTTGTGTTGTAGATGCTGTAAAAAAAGGGAACAATTGTGGTCATATATTTTTCGTTTCATCGGGTTTTGAATTACAACGATTTTAAAATCTATTTCTATTTTGGTTGTTTTATTTTATAATATTGCAAATTTGTTTAAAAATTTATTATCTATATTTTATTTTGCATATTTGTAAAATAAGTTATATTATTTTATTCTTATTGGAAATATAAAGTAAATAAAGTTTATTTGTTTTTGTCACGTGTCTA